AATTGAAATCTGGGTGTTGCAGGCAACACCTTCACTTGTCTTCTCTACTGTTGCTTATGCATAAAGCTCAGGAACCCTTCCTCCTTCCTATACCACCTTAGCCTGACAATATGAGCCTCAAAGTATGAATAGAGCTCACACAGGCCCAAGGCTGAGAACTGTAAGCCAAAGGAGGGTACTGAGTAGAGCAGGCTGTCTGTTAACCACTTCAAGTCTGGACACTTTTACCCCCTTCCTCTCCAGGCCAAATTTCAGCTTTCGGTGATGTCACACTTTGAATGACAATTGCACGGTCATGCAACACTGTACCCATATGAATTTTTTAGCATTTTTTTTGAGACAGATAAAACTTTATTTTGGTGGTATTTATTCACCACTGGGAGTTTTATATTGTTTTGCTATATAAATGAAAAAGTCCAAAAATTTTGAAAAAAAGTATTTTTCTTGTTAAATTAAGCAAATAAATAATATTTCTTCATAAATCTTGGCCAAAATGTATGCAGTTATCTTTTAGTAAAGAAAAAAATAACCCAAATTTTTTTATAGCCAAAAATTGTAATTTTTCTAAATTTTTTATTACATTTTTATTTTTTTTATATTATTATTTATGGTTTTTATTGTTTTTACATACTGTCACCCTAGCAGTACAGTGTCACCATAGTGACACTGTACTACTTGTGGGGGGTGATGAAGATTTTTTTTTTTTTTTTTACACTGATTGCTTTTACACCCATAAAGGCTGTAAAAGCAATAATTTCTCCTTCTCTCTGGCTGCGTTCATGCAGCCATTGAGAAATACTGTGTGAGCTGTGATTGGTCACAGCTTGTCACATGGCATAAGGCTGTTGTGAATATCCTTGTACCATGTGACCTCTGTGATCATTCACAGATTTCACACGTAGTAAGCAATGATGTCAGAAGTGACATCTTGCTTACTACTCTTCATGTGATCACTGATTGGCCCATCAGTGATCACATGATCGGGACCTCACACAAAGGTCCCGTACAATGATCGGTGTTCCGCTATGTCCGGAGGATACAGCGGGTACCTGATCGAGGTCCTACACGCTCCCAGGGAGCGCGCACAAGCAGGGAGCGGGGAGGATGTTTATAAACGGCCACCCGACCCTGCACTGCTCCTGTTCGGCCATTTATATACATGGGCCGGACTGGAAGTGGTTAAACACTGGTTGGCCTGTATCTTGGTGAAGGTTCTCATTTATTCAGGTTATGGTATAGCTCAAGGGTCTCAATACTGCGGCCAGATGTGGCCTTGTGCTTGCCTTTATTCAGCCCTTAGGGCACTATTTTTTCCACTTTTACAAAGTACTGTTCCTTTTAGTGACCCCAAAGATGGTGCACTTTTCCTCCCACTGACACCAACAATGGGGTAATAATACCCTCACTGACACCAGAGATGGGGAACTAATTCTCCCCACTGACAACAATGATAGGGCACTATTTCTCCCACTGACACCAGTGATGGGGCACTATTCCTCCTACTGACACCAATGATGTAATTGTTTTTACTGCCACTGACCACCAAGCCTATGGCACTGTTTACTCTCACCAATTCCAGGGCATTTCCTACTCCCACTGGTCACAGTCTCCCCCCCCTAAAGTATGAAGGGCAGTATTTTGGCCCTTTGTTTTTTAAACGTTTGGAGACCCCTGGTATAGCTAATAGTAGCCACACTCTACTGGATGTGTTCTGTAATATTAAATATGTTTTGAATCCTATCCAAGGCTCTTCTTCAACCGTTTTAATAAGTTAGCAAATGTCTTTAACATTATATTCCACTTCAGTATGGCTAACAAGCTATACCAGCTGATCAGGTCCTCCTGGAAAATGAGTGATTTCTTATGTGTTTTTAAAAAAAAAATATTTTCTAGATGGCAAAATCGGAGGACTGGAAGAATTCTCTTAGCCAAGGCCAAGCAATATGGTATATCCTACAGAGATATTGGGGTTGATTTACTAAAGGCAAATAGACTGTTCACTTTGCAAGAGTTGAATAAATGCTGTTCATTTTGAAAAAATAGCCAATCACATGCAAGGAAAATTAAAAAAATACATTTTTTCTTGCACATGATTGAATGATGGAAGCTAGCAGAGCTTTACCTCTTAAAGTGTTACTAAACCCAGGACCCTGCATTCACTATATCTGATCTCTCACAGTACACAGGACATGAAAATTCAATTATTTTAGTAAATAGAAACTGCTAAACACCTTTTTTCATCAACAGTTAGAGCAGTCTTGTGACTTTTATCAGTGCCCAGCCGAGCAATGGTTAAAGCTTGTAGGAGGAGTTTTCATTCTCCCTTGATTGTCTTATGAGGCTGCAGGACCCCTGACCCTCTGTCTGGACAGTGCTGATTGGTCCACTGCTGATTACATGAACTCTCCCAAGAAAAAAAAACTCTCTAGCAATACACACCAAACTGAGTATGTGCAACTTGCCCCCAAGGCTCTGTTCTATCAGGAGATGGATTGGGGACAGTAGAAGAAGGGGAGGATCAGAGAAGATAGGATCAAACAGCCTTTTTACACAATGCATAGGATTAACCCCTTAGGTTCCACAGTGAGTATAACAAGCATGCTTTACTGTATATACAGACTGATTTTACTGTTGTGGGTTCAGTAACACTTTAATCAAGTTCTTGGGAAACTTCCCATGCAAAACGACCAGTCTATTTACCTTTAGTAAATCAGACCCAATATTTTTATCTAGTAAGGTTAGCTTCTCCGTGGCAAGATACATATTCAGACACTACAGTCACCAGTTCTGGATTTTCTCAGCTGGTCCTGGGTTTTAGTGGTAGAGAAGCCATGAGCTGGCCAAAAAAATAGTATAATCCTGGGCAGAGCTAAGTCCTTTGTGCTATTAGTTTGGGTAGGTCTGAGAAGAAATTCATTTTTCATGGGAAATACCTGTACAATTATATTACCTTTATTGTGTTTTTGCTTTGAAAATCTAAAAGGAAAACTGGGGGAATCACATCAGGAGACACATACCCTATCAGTAACCTATCATACATCACCTTGTATTTGTAAATTCAGATTGTTAGTCTGTTAAAACAATGATTGTGTAAAAGCGTTCATCTTATTTTTACTACATCTTTAGCTGAAGAGAGGCTTATAGGTGTTGTTAAGTGAGGAAATTGTTACATTTGACAGAAGACCCTCGTTTTTGTCACCTCTAATACAGTATTTCTATTAAAAAAGCAACCATACCTACAGGCTAATAGGGCTTCTTCTATTAGCTTCACGCATTTATACGTGTTTATGCGCGTTTGCATTTAGAAGCGTATTTTTAAAGATAAGCACAGGAGAACCTCCCAAATGCCCAGAATGCATTGAAAAGTGGTAAATTATGAACTATTTCAGACTGTTTCAGAGAAATACAGAGAGTAGAAGCAGAGGCAGCAGTATGTGTTGATATTATCTTAGGTGGGAGTTGCTCATTAACATTTCTTTTGTTTCCAAGGGTGGGAAAAGTTTCTGATGGAGTGAGTCATTAAGGCCACCTGGCAGGGTGTCTTTATGAGGAATTTGAGGTGTGAATAGTCATTAACATATCTTTTGTTTCCAAGGATGGGAGAGGTCTGAGGTGTGAATCGGTCATTACAATGTGTGACAAGCTTGGTAGGAACATCCTGTGTTCAGTGTTTTGTCCATTTGAGTACCTTGAAAGCGCTTTACATGCATTTTTCGTGATGAAAAAAGGCTCTGGACAGCATTGGGAACTGGAAGAGTTAAAAATAAATTTCAAACGTAAACGCTTATAAACGCGATTTACTGTGTTTGGCTGCATTTACAAGCGTTTTGAGTTTGAAACGTTGATAGAATCAGCTGCTGAGTGCAAGTTTTCTGCATTAAAAAAACAACTGTAAACTCAAATGCCTGTAAATGACTGTAAACAAAGATGTGTACATCGACACATAGGAAAACATTAGGGTGAGTTCAGGGGCTGCTGAAAAAAACGCTGAATAGCTCCTAAACGTGAGTTTATCAGCTACAGTGTACATGAGCCTTAATGATGGATGAAGAATTTGTTGTTTATGAGGAATGTTTTTTTTTTTGCATGGCAGCTCTGCTTGCACTTTCCCTGTTAAAAAAGAAAACCTTGTTACCGACCTTGTATTGTTGCAGCTCCTAAATAGCTCCATCCATGGAAATATATAACTCCTGACCCATTGGAAGTGCTGACAATATTTCTAAATAGTTTATTATCTGACCTTGAATGGAAATATTTTTTTTTCTCTCAAACTTGAACAGCAACTAATTAACCATAACCTAATAATTTGGAGGGAAATCTTAAGAGCAGCTGAAATATAATATTACATATCTTTGCCAACAGTCCTGCCACCCATGCCATATTGGAGAACAACTGCTGCATTGAAGTGTAGGATGGAGCCAAATTCAGAGCTAAGAAGAAGTAAAAGTTACTGTATGAGCCTGCATTTAATGATATAACAAACTAGAAATTGATTGCCTGTGTCCTGAAACCTCACCATTTAGGTGAAAAAATAGAGATTACCATGAAAGTGTTACTAAACCCACAACAGTAAAATCAATCTGTATATGCAGTAAAGCATGGTTGTTATACTCACTGTGGAACCTGGGGTTAATCCTCCGCATTGTGTCTTCTCTGATCCTCCCTTTCTTCTAATGTCACCAATCCATCTGCTGATAGAATAGAGCCCTAGGAGTCACGCTGCACATGCTCAGTTTGGTGTGTATTGTTTGAGAGTTTTCTGTTTGTTTGGGAGGCTGCATGTGATCCGCACAGGGCCAATCAGCACTGTCCAGACAGAGGGTTGGGGGTTATGCAGCCTCATAGGACAATTAGGGGAGAATGAAAACTCCTCCTTCAAGCTTTAACCAGTGCTCAGCTGGACACTGATAGAAGTCAGAAGACTGCTATATACTGCTGATAAGAAAGGTATTTAGCAGTTTATCTTTACTAAAATAATTGTATTTCCGTGTTCTGTGTACTATGGGAGACCGGATATAGTGAATGCAGGGTCCTGGGTTTAGTAACACTTTAAGAGGTAAAGCTCTGCTGGCTTCCACTCTAACTATACATTCTGTTGATAGTTTTTCTGTGTTTCTCTTTACAAAAGAAAGAGAAAACATCACCGAAGGCTTGAAAAACCCCAGGAGCTAGGTGGTCAATGTACCATAAAAATAACATCTGGTTCCTACGTTTTGAGCCCATTCTGTTGACGGCCCTTGAAGAGCAGTGTCCATGAATACTCAAAATAGCCCGGGCTACTAATTTCACTCTTGGCTCTTGAATCAGACGATCATTTGTCAGCCCTGAGATTACCATGGACATTGTGAAGCTTATCAAGACATATAGTAATTTACTAATTCTTGATACAACATAATAGGTCAGTTTTGTATAGAATATGAATACCAAAATGTTAAAGATATTATATGTCTCCTTGTGGGAAAGCAAAGCTTACAGCTATCTAAAATGTAGAATGTATTTCAATAGGTAGATATAAACTTCAACTAAATGATGCTTTGTTAAGGTCAGAGGTGGCCAGTATTGTATATAAAGGGGTTGTGCTGGCCTGACCTCTTCCTACTGAGGAAGCCTTTGGAGGTGTAATGCACGGAGTCAGCGCACTTGATGCCACCGCCGGGCAGTGAGGAGACTCTGCGATGAGAAGGCGGTTTACTTTTATACTATGCGCAGAACATGGCACTGAGAGTGCATTTGTTTTTGTGTGTCCCGTTTTAGATTTTATGAAATTGTTTTTAGAGAGAACTATTGGTTTTATTCCTTTTGCATGAGTACATGTCACATGGAGAAGAGGAGGTCGAAAAGAAACTCCAGTCCATGTGTCAGTACCTGTGATTGTTACTGGGAGCCAGTTGGAGTAAAGCCTTAGAGGGGTAAAAGTGCGTTTGACCTTGATTATTGATTAAAGCAGAGCTCCACCCAAAAGGGGAAGCACTACTTGTCTGTCTCCTCCCCCTCTCCACTGCCATATTTGGCACTTTTTAGGGGGAGCTGATACATGGTTTAAACAGGTACCCGCTCCCACTTTCGGCTCAGTTCACCGCAGCGACCTGAGCTGGAAGTTGGGCTCCCCTCCTTCCCCCCACAGTCTTCTGGGACACTTCACAGGTCCACACAGGTTCACAGACCAATCAGGAGGCGCAGCATGACTTGCACATGCACAGTGGGCACCCGCCTGTGAAACCGCAAGCTGTCATTGCCGGGTACCTAGAGTTGAGATGCCGGCACCAGGGAGAGAAGAGGGAGAGAATGGACAGCGTAGGTGAGTACATCGTTGGATCCTGGGACAGGTGAGTGTGTGTTTATCAAAAGTCTGCAGTTTTTGTAGCTGCTGACATTTAATTAACACAAAAACGACTGTAACTCCACTTTAAGGTCCAGTCCAAGAGGTGAGTGCATATGGTTCACAGTGTGGTATGCATGTGACACATGGGTGATCCGTCGAAGTGCAGACTGTGATATCTAGAATTCACTGGTGGATGGCCATGTATAAATATTTACAGACTTTTTTTGTTTCATCATTCGGGACTCATTTATTTAAAGGATAAGGTCACATTTTGACCAAAAATAATAAATGTGCATTTATTATTTTTGGTTGCAGGAGCCTATAAAGCATTGCACCAGTGATCAGCAGTCCTGCAGACCTGTCAGTATATCTGCTTGTCTACATGGGATGTACAGGCAAACAGATATAGTGACAGGAAGAATCAATTAACTACCACTGCGCTCCACAGTGCTGTGGTAATTCATGTCGAACTACAAATCGACAGCGGCTAAGGCTGTCGGGACTTGTAGTTCATTCATTCACAGAACTCAGTGAATGAATGACGCGGACATGTGGGCGGAGCCCCGCACAGGCGCACTGATTTAAAGTGACAGCTAGTACAGGGAACTTCTCCCCGTATTGCTGTCACAGGTAGAGGGGGGGATTGAGCAGTGGTTGCAGCATTGGGAACATGTGACATGTTGCACCCATTTTTAGGGTGAACATGTAACATGTTCCCAAAGGCAAACTTATCCTTTACAACAGGAGGTCACCAAACTTTTTAAACAAAGGGTCAGTTTTCTGTCCTTCAGACTTTAGGGGGGCCAGACTGTGGTATTATGAGTAAAAAAATTGCATAACACCTGTGGTCAGTGGGAGGAGGAATTGTGCCCCATAACAAGTATTAGGAATAATGCCCTATTGTTGGTGTCAGTGGAAGGAATAATGCCCCATCATTGGTGTCAGTGAGAGGAATAGTACGCTATCATTGCAGTCAGTGAGAGGAATAGTACGCTATCATTGCAGTCAGTGAGAGGAATAGCGCTCCACCCTTGGTATCAGTAGAAGGAATCATGCCCCATCATTAAGGTCAGTGAAAGAAAAAATGTTCCATCATTTAAGTCCGTGGTAGGAATAGTGCCCCATTGTTGGTGTCAGTGGGAGAAGTAGTGCCTCAGCGATAGTGTCAATGGAAGGAGTAGTGCCCATCATTGGTATCAGTGGAATGAATAATGCCCCATCATTATTGTCAGTGAAAGAAATAAAGTTTCAGCATTTATGAGTGGGAAGAATAGCTCTTCATATCTGTAAAAGGAATCCCCAAGGGCTGGATATACGCAAGCAAAGGGCCACGTCCAGCCTGCGGGCCGCAGTTTGGAGACCACTGCTTTACAAGACACTGTTTTAGTTGCACTGCATCATTATTTGTATCATTTTATTATTATTATCACTATTACTATTATTGTTTTTGTTCTTCTCTGGCTAGGAGAAAGAGATAAAATGTATCTTTTTCTCTATTCAGAGAAGAAATAGTACAGGGATTGCTTTTACATAGTGATCACCAATCACAGGCAGGGTCAGATCTAGCCTGTCTGATCTTGGGGTGCAGTATGAAAAGTTATGGGACATAATGTCAACAGTGTAAAAGATGCATGGAACCGGTATTCCTTCTTCACTTCTATGTATACCAAGAGTCACAACCTGGAAATAATGTCTGACAGGTAGTGCAGAGGCATTGCAGTGAACAAGGAACACTAATATCTATAAGGCTGTCATTAGATTAGGATGATTAAACAGAATCTGTGCCTCCATATATCAAGTGTCCCTATCAGATGCCCCTTAAATCGAGGTCGAGGTCCTTGTCAGAGTACCTCCTTAGATCAGCTGTCCCCATCAGAGTGCCACTTATATCAAATGTCCCCATCAGAGCCCCCTTTATATCATTTGTCAACATCAGAGTCCCGCTTGCATCAGTTAGCTCCAACAGAATGCCCCCTTACATCAACTGCCCCCATTTAAGACCCCCTTTACATAATTTGTTCCCATCAGAGTTCCCCTTACATCAATTGTGCCCATCAGTGTGCCTCCTTACATCAACTGCCCCCGTTAAAGTCCCCCTTACATCAGTTGTGCCCATCAGAATGCCTCATGGATCGGTGGATGCGTCCCAGTGATCTGGGGGAGGAACAACTAAAATTTGGGGGGGCAAGCCCACCCCCACCCCAGCACCCACCCCACCCCCCGATCCAGGCCTGATCACAGGCTATCAGAGCGATCACAAATGTGGCCCCATGCACAAATGTGGCCCCACGGAATAAGGCCTACTGTAGACAGGCTGCATATTTGTGCACGCCCATTGACAAGGGGTTAACATGGTAAAACTTATATGAGATTTATTGATTGGGGTTACATATACTTTATCAAAATTAATACATATTCTGATTTTTAACATTTTGCCCTTTGTTAGTTGTAGAAAATTGGAAATGTACTGCTTCTATATTACAATTTGATAGAGGGACACGATAATTTAATTTTGCTCTAAGGTATGCTAATTCCCCCCCCCCCAAAAGGTGGCTGTCACCCTTATCCTTCCTTCACTATCTGGCGAGTCATTGACCCAGAATAAATATGTTCTCTGATTGGACAAGGAGAATGTAATGTCACGGCCCTGCCTTTCCACCTCATCCAATCAAAAAAGCTTTCATTAATTCAGAAAAGGCAAAGCATTCTCCAAACTGTGCCCATGCTGAATGGCTCCTATGTTCAGAATGTAGCAGAGCAGCTGCTTGGCGTGGGACCTAGAAAGAAGTGCAGATCACTGGAGCAATGGTGATTTTCATCTTCCAGGTGATTCAGCAAGGAATGGTGTATGCATAGTTATATCAGTCCGACTGGACCAATGTAACTATATATAAAATACATGTCATCTTTAAAGAGGAGTATCAGCATAAGTATGTGGGGCTTGTACAGTTGCTTCCTTGAAGATATGGGAACCCTCCCAGTCCACCCATATCTTTCAGATATTCAGAAATGTCATCATCGTACAGATTGCCTGTATCCTATTAGACTGAAAGCTGCCTCTAGAAGAGGAATTAAAGCTGGGCATACACTGATTACATTTTGGCCGGTTCCTTATAAAGTGGCCAAACTTTGCTTAGTTGGCCCTCTCCTACCCAACATCCTTTGATTGCAAAAAATGTAATTTGTCAGCTGAGCAGCAGCGTTTAATCAGATCCTGCTAAAAGGGTATTCTGACAGTCACTGGGAACAGCTGTCAGAATACAATAGTGTGTACTTGTCTCAATCCAGAGCACTAAGTGTCATCTCTGTCTGCTGCCTTATTCCTCTGCTATCAGCATGTGTCACTTCTGACAAGTTTTCCTGACACCAGAGATAAAAAGGTGACAGGGGAGGGATCTCCAGCAGATAGCCTGTGATTGACAGCCTTGGCTCTGTTGTCTCTTCCCTCCAATCAGCTTTCACACAGATCTGCAGAGTGTAACTTCAGAGCACTAAGTGTCAATTTTGTCTGCTTTCTTGTTCCTCTGTTATCTGCATGAGCATAGCTCCCAACTGTCCCTGATTTCGAGTCCCTCTGTTTCTCTTTTCTCCTTATTTGTTCCTCATTTTGGCCTGATCTATATAGTTGTATGTAACATGCATTTTACAGTGTTAAACCTTTCATCCAATTTCTAATTTGCTGTATTTGTAAATTCCAAAGGCCAATATAAAGGAA